ATACAGAAGAATTAGAAAAGGCAAACCATCAAACTATTTTTAAACTTTTTGATAAATCTATGAATTTATTATGGCCACAAGGCGTACATCATGATAACGTTTTGTTATTTTTGTCGGACGCTGCGCCGTATATGGTGAAATCGGGAAAAGCAATTCAAGCACTTTACTCAAAGATGATTCATGTTACATGTATAGTACATGGATTTCATCGTGTGGCCGAAGAAGTACGTTCATATTTTAACATAGTTGACCAACTTATATCTAGTGTAAAAAAAGTCTTTTTGAAAGCACCAACTCGATCTCGTATATTTAAAAATGAAGCTCCTGACATCCCAATGCCACCACAGCCCATTTTAACTCGTTGGGGAACATGGTTGGATGCAGCTAATTATTATTGTGAAAATTATGAAGTCATAAAAAATATAATAAACAAGTTAGATGAAAATGACGCAAGCAGCATCAAGAAAGCTAAAGATATTTTTAACAACCCAAATTTGAAAGCAAACTTAGCATTTATTTCTTCAAACTATAGTTTTCTTTCAACTTATATTACACGTTTGGAAAAACAAAACATGATGCTTTCTGAGTCTATTTCCATCGTCAAAATTGTTAAAGAAAAACTGCAAAGTCCGCAAGGAGAAAAAGGAAAAGCTATTTACAAAAAATTAGAAAATGTACTATCAAAAAATAAAGGATAAGAAATTATTGAACAAATTTCAAATATTTTAGAAGGCATAGACAATTCTTTGGAAAATCTTGAAGACTTAAATGTAAACGACTTAAAGTACTATAAATTCGCCCCAGTTACTTCTGTTGATGTCGAGCGTTCGTTTTCGAGATACAAAAATTTATTGGCGAACAATCGCCGCTCATTCACTTTTGAAAATATAAGAAAAATTTTAGTGACACAATGCAATTCATTTGGGTAAGATTTATAAAAATATTAAATATGCATTTATATTTGAAATGTTTGTTTTTTTTCTGTTACAGGCAAGTTTAAATAAGAAGCAATCAAAATAATAATTAATAATATATAAGTATATAACTATAATATAAGTTTGTAATATTTTAATATTTTTTCAAAAATTGAAAAATTTTAAGAGCATATTTTATTTAGCATATATGATCAAAATAATAATTAATAATATATAACTATATAAGATTGTAATATTTTAATGTTTTTTTCGAAAATTAAAAAATTTTAAGAGCATATTTTAAGAGCATATATGATCATTTTTAAGTGCATAAATGCATGCATATTTTATTATAACTTATAACTGAACCAATATCTTTCAGTTTTTGATAATATGATTATTCAGGTGATTACCATGTACTACCATATTTATGCAAGGACATGATAAACCATAAGATATAGTACTGGTCCCAATCGAAAGAATGGCCCACCAACAACAGGCAAACAAAATTAGTTGTTTACCATAATTTGGGGGAAACAAAATTTTGGCTGATTAACGAAAACGACATAAAAATGTTATAATAAGCATTAAATTCATATTTTGTTATATTATACATCATCGTATTAAGGTAAGGTAAAAGCCTATATTCTATCCGTCAAATCGTAGTCATACGGTATAAATACAACGGTGTCTACTAACTACGATAACGTCGATAACCATTGATTACAACTCATTTGATTAGGTGAATTTGGATTTTAAATTGGCTTTGTTGGTAAGTTATAATAATTATAAGGCATTTTCCCCGAGAAATAATGATAACCAAACATTTACTATAGGTAACATAATATTATACATACCAATACATTATTGTTTTGAGTGGAGCACTGATGTAGGTATCAAGGGTCATATTATATTAACATCTATTTGTCGGTTTAATAACAATTTCGATGAAAAAATTTTTTTTTAAATAAATTGAAGAAAAACTAGGTGGTAATATGAAAAATTATAGTTATAACTAACTCATCTACAAGCGCAAAATTGCCAGGTAATTATAAACTTTTAACAATAATTTTATACAAATTATTACAAAAGTGATGACTAGAGGTCGAGACTTAGCGCATTTGCATATTCAATCAGAAAATAATAATAAAATAAATCATTTTGGTAAATGGATGTAAGATTGAAAAGTTAAAAGTTCATATTTTAGTAATATTTTGATTTTTTTTCTATAAAGGCAAAACAGAAGTTGCTGAAAATTTCACTAACCTAAATGAAATCACTAAAAAAAAAATAAAAATCTGCTGGATTCCGTGATACTCATACTGCTGAAAATGATTGGTAATACAAATCTGACTGTTGAAACTGAGGTATGTTTGATTGATAAAAAATGACATATTAAACAACTACTCAAATTTACAGCCAAACTTAAATTAAATAAAGATATGCAAATGTCAAATGCGTTTTAAAATGTGAAAACGTGTATACAAATTTTTCTTGCAATGCTTGACACAAACTGCTCTAGTGAAAAATCAATTTCATCGTTGAAAAGAATAAAAAAAATAAACTACGTTGATGAGTGGGCCAACAAAATGTGAAAGCTATAAAAATATCATCAATTACAAATGATAATAAAGCAAATCTGAGTTTTGACTTTGTTATTGACAGGTTTTAAGAACAGTGAGAAAATTTTTTGGACACTTTGATAAAATTTGACTTGAAAACATTTAGTTTTATCTTTGATAATATAAGTATTATTAAAATCAAAAATACAGATTGTTTTTTGAAAAAAGATTACTTTAAAATAAGTACATATAATATTATAAAAATATTTCGTTATGAAGCCTAAAAATATATAGTGTTTTTAGTTGTTGTATTACTATGTTTCGAACAATACAAGTTTATTGAACAATTCAGGGGCACAACATTTTAAATTGTACTTGGACCATGAATTGTTAAATCAGTTATTGTTCTCAACAGACAAATGCATCTTAAATAATCCAACCAAGAAACTCAAGCTTATATAATAGCTGAAATGTGTATACTATAGTAAGTAATATAGGGTGACAACGGCCACACAAACTGGTAGAGGAAAAAATAGATCTGTCCATAAAAAGGTTTTGTTATCGCTGGGTCACAAGTCTATCGTTTCGGTCCGTTAATTAAAGCCCAACATAAACCGTTAAACTGTTAAAACCATTCGTAAACGAATAATAAGACGTGTCCGTGTCCAACCACGCGTATGATAGATACCATAATTGTTCGTCAGCGAGGCTTAATTTAATAATAAAAATAAAGAATAATCTGAGAAAATAATAATACACCTATTATTGTTATTTGGAACAGTCAAAAAAAAAATTGTTTTATTTAAAAATTACAACCAGCTTGAACCAATTTTATTATTTAGGAAAATGATCAATGTATATAATAATATTAATAATTGGGTAGTTATTCTTTTTCATAGAAAATTCTACTATTAAATTTTTACATTTATGCCAATATGAGGATAATATCACAAGTGGTTTTAATCAAAAACGTCCTACGTTATGAACAAAATTATACAAATGTATTCTAATAATATTAACCCTCTTTGGTGTTGAAAATGTATTTATTTATTGTTCGTGGATTGGTATCTATATATTATATATATACATATATATTAGTATAAATGCCACCATCTGAATCTGATGATGGATTTACTCTGTTGATAATTTCGATTTACCCAAACTCTTTTCCAGTTTTGAGCTGCAAATAATATTTTCCATCCTTCGCAGGGCAACATAAAAGCATTCTATAGCCACCAGTAATCATCACGGACAACAGAAATGGCTATAGAGTATTAGATTAAATAAAAAGTCAGATTTAGGTAAGGTTTTGTTCAAACAAATCATGATGTATATGCATATTAAGGGTATAGTAACTATATTGTTTACATGTACAACTCTCTATCACAAGTAACGCTTGCAGGAGATATAAATGAATCATTTATGTTTGTACTCTTTCATATTTTATTTTATCCAAATATTTCTGATTTAATAAAAAAAAAAGTAATATAGTATGCTGTAATATAAGCCTCCAAAATCGGTTCCAATCGGTTGTAGTTTTTTAATCAGCCAAGATAACAGGTCCTACCCTCTGCGATTAAAATTCTATGCGATTCCCCGTGATATTATCAATATGTACAAGGTATATCTATAGTTGTTTAACACGTCAGACAACCAACGTACGTTTTACTAATCGAGGCGGAACTCATTTAATTGATAAATAATGTTCGAGGTCTCGTGTGTTAATAATAATAGTACATATAGGTAACAGGGCGCATAAGCACAGGGTGGCGGCGACCCCCCTCAAACGTGCGTCACCCACAGCGCTCCGCTCCGCCCACCGACCAATGGACAAAAACTTACAGAGTGTTGCGTAGGTAGTATGAGCGCACTGAAATGACGGGCGTATTAAATTATACGATTCAAATATTATTTTCGTTTAGTGGTATCATCGTCATGTACGAATAGTTTAATTTATTTTTCACGATATTATTTAAAAATAATATCTAATGTGTAAAAATGAAAAACGACTTCATCCGGTCATGTTATAACATAATGGTGTATGGTCCGATCGGCCGCCAACACCATACCCTTATCGTGTCATTATATTAGTACGATATGTGTAGACGAAAGCTATAATAATATATATGGGTAACACGTACAATGCACATACAACGATACAACTATATATTATCATAACGACAACAACAACAACAACAACGATAACAGTGGTGAAAAATTACTCACAATGACAATTATATAATATTAATATACTATACATATTATGCTATTGAATTTAATATTATTGTCTTATAGTTGTATATAATAACCACTCTGGTAATCTAAACCGTATTGTCACGAAACACCGCAACAGGTGGCTAAGAACCGAGTATTTTTGATACGAAATTCCAAGCCTGTATCTTGTGCATAATATACCACATATCAATTAAAATGTATAGTATAATGTCCATTTATGATGTTGTGACTTAATATTTTATAATAATATGTATCATAGCGCATAGCATATTATGTAAATATCACTCACCTCTCGCGTCCGGCGACCACTTGCCGACCGACGATTTGGATTAATGAGCGAGTGGCACGTGCTTGTTGACGACGACGACGACGACTGTACCAGCGACACACTGACTGGCGTTCGTTCCCCCCGCGCTGAACACGGCACTGAACGACCCCGTGGCGAACGCGGCGTGCGGACGGTCTTCGCGCCACCCGCGCCGCCCCTCCGGTCGTCGGTCGGTGGTTTTTTTCCGCGCCGCCTGGCGAGACGATCACTCTGGCGCTCTTACCATAACAGTATTGTCGCGAGAAATAATTCGATTGCCAAACATGCATAATATTACTGTGTCCGTAACAGGTATATATTATATATATAGCGTGTCTGTTATAGTTATGCTAAGCCACTGGGGCTCAGATCTGACATACGTGCAATTGCATATTATTATCTCTATTATTAGTTTTAATACTTATAAATAAAATAATAATTATATGATCGGGGCTAGGAGTACCTATGGAATTAGTAAAATATTCATTTCATTTTCTACAAGTTGGGTAGGTATGCGATAAAAATATAGTAAAATATACGCATTGAATTTACCAATATTTTCTACACTATCGTTAAGTGGAGGAGAAGGCATTCATATCAGTGAACTACAGTTTGGCAAGATATAGCATATTATGATAGAGATAAAATAGAGGAAGTAGTTTTGGCAGTAAAGACCCTCGATGGATCGTAAATCTGAATAAAAAAAAAGTTATATAAAGAGGCAATTTCATTGCCGATTTGTGGCCATTGCTAACCAAATCTGTAAAAGCACGCTTCTAAAAAACATACAAATATACATGAGTTCTAGCCCTAAATATGAAGAAGTGACTAAAGAAATTCTAATGAAAAATCTCGACATTTTATAAATTGTAAATTCGAATTTGATTACAAAAAAATTGTTGAATATTTATTTAAATATTTCTGGAAAATTCACAAATTATAGATAGTAGCACATCACTAAATAAATGCATATAAGTTGTATAATATTTGTCAAAAAAATTTAAATTGTATTAAAACTAGCCTGGCCATAGTTTGATTTGTATTTACTTATCTACTATTATCTTAATCATTGAGACTTGTTATACATACATAATATACTGGATGTATAGGAATCAAATTTCCTACATCAGAAAAAACCAGACACAATAATACTGATAGTCATAACTCATAACAACAAAACAATAAAAACCATGTAGTTTTATTACAAATTCAAAATCCTATAAATATTAAATCCGTCTAACTTCCTAGTTTGGTCGACCAAACTAACACTATACTATTATAATATATTCGAAATTACAGAAGTAAAAATAATATTCTATAATCACTATACGATACCAGGCACTGAGATCAGATGAAGTATTTAAATATTTCATAAACAATTTTTTTAATTTGGTATACGAAATTTGTAAACATAATTTTCTGCAGTATTTTTGTTTATTTTAATCTAATGTATGGTAATCTATTGTAAAAAAAAATTAACAAATGCAAAACAGTGGTCCAGTACCTGAAGCTTAATCTATTAAAAATAATAAAATATTACTTACTAGTTACTACGCACTTTATAATACGTTTTCACGTGATGATGATAACACAAGTTTATAATATTATTATTACTTAGGTGCTTGTGAGTCTACTGACCTATCATGCTCTACATTTTATGTTAGAGAGAGAAGAGTTAGCTTAAATTTTATATTTAAACTATCAAAATTTGTCAAAAAGTTCACAAACATTTAGTAAGTTACATAATGATTTAATACTATTATCTTAATTAGTAATCTATAATTTCCAAAAAAAAATAATAGAGCTAACTTGTCCCATTTACAAGTTGACCGCGTATAAATATAATAATCAGCTTCACTTACTTAAAACTTATTGTTAAAATTGAAAAAAAAACATAATGACAATAATGCGATGATTAAGGCGATGTTAAAATATAACTTCTTTGAAAAAATATAATTTATACCTAATCATGAGATAAACATGAACACATATCTTTATACAAAAAACAATATTTAAATAAAACAAACATTTTTGTAAAAGTTAATAATAATGTCTTTTACTATATATGTGTATTATCTAAAATGCCACAATATTAGAACGCCAACTAAACCCATATGACTTTTTCATTATTTTGAAACTATAATAAATTGCATGGACATATAGTCGTAGTATGAATTTATTATGAAAAAATAATGAAGCTTTAGCCTCCGTATGGAGACACTGGCTGTATATTAATAATATGAACCTAACAAATGATGTGCTCCTTTATTCAAATTGGTGTTCTTGTGCTTTCAATAATTTATACATTGTAATTTCGAACATTTAACTCTCCTTCCTCCTTGCCCTCCATTTTATCGTCTTCCGTGTTATGGATTGTTTACTTTTTTTAATGCGTTTCGATAAAAAGTAAAGGCGACACGGCGTTCTGGATAGGCTATTTAGCTACATGTCACACTGTTGCGCGGAATGTGCACATTTTTCGACATCGCGTGATATGGATAGTCATATCATAACCTAATCATTAATTTCTGCGGACTAACATTTGAGTTACGCGCTAGGCTCTTGCGTATGTCGATTATTTAATGTTAAAGAACTATTATTATTTATTGTCAAACTGAAAAATTCTTTCGATAGCGTAAAATCTATATTAGGTACTGTCGAAACAAAAGGGTAAGCCTCAAAGTGTTCTACCGAAAGGTACAAGACACAAGGCTTTATTTAACAATAAAAATAAAGAATATACCGAGAAAATGATAATATACGCATTAAAATATATAAGGGCAAGGGCCGTTATTTTGAACAGTCGGAAAAAAGTCATATTATTTCAACACTACAACCAGCTTGAACCAATTATTATTTAGGAAAACTATCAATCTATTTAATAATATTAGTTATTGGATATTTTTTTATAGATAATTCTATTATTAAATGTTTAAATATATGCCAATATGCGTATCACAGGTGGTTTTAATCAAAAATGTCCTAAGCATGTCGAAACAGACAACCTAGACGGGAGAGCCTTATATTGTGTTACGCGAAGGTACGTGACATAGGTACTGATATTATACACTTATACACCGTTATAATAATAACAATAATAATATTAAATGAACGACGATAACAATGTACATTATAATATAATATTGTATAGTAGGTAGCAGCAGTAATGTGATGCAGATACAGGATAATGTATAAATAGAATAATATAACAGTTTGGCGGAATCCTAAGGGGAAAATCCAACGGAAGCGTGCGCAGATGGCAGATGGACGTATTATTATATTGCATTCGCAGCGCGAATATTATTGTCATAATAATTATTATACGATTAAATGGCACATTGTTTCGCAAAAGCCCGTCTTTGCAATTTAAGTCTCACACAATTATTGTGGGGCTTTTAAAGTCGATCCGCGCGATGTGATATGGTGCTGCAAATAGAGAGCGACTCGAAATTCGGTATACCTACCATAATACCTAATATTATTATCACACTGTATTGGCAAATAATGACGACGTACAATACTATTATTATTATTATTATTATACGTAACGACAGGAAACGACCATGAAAACGCACGATTTCCGGCACCAATGGTCGCGGTACAAGAGATCGCGTATATAAATAATAAATAAAATTCCGTCACGTGTGCTGTGCGAAATCGACTATTTGGGGCGATCGGTGGGCGGACGAATGGCGTTTATAATATCATAATAAATAGTTAAGTACTTACCTCCTACGCGTCGCACGTCATGATGTATATTGCCTGATTTATATTATATGGGCGACGACGGGATCCGAGGGACACCAATTTCCGCACGAGAAGAAAAACAGGAAACGCGGAACTATAGTCGTAGGTACATATAATATATACACGCACCTACAGGTACAGCCTGTCGTATCTATAGCGCTGTATACGCAACAACCATAATATGATTCTTCGATTATATTTTTTCTTTTTTAACGTTTCAGCCGTCTATTTTTCGAATTGGGTTTTAGTGAATTTATTTTTTAATACATAATATATATTTTACACTGAAGTCTAAAGGTACCCACATATAAACTTACCGAGGTGTATAATGGAACATTACATTGCAATCTTATATTGTTACAAGTATAAGCGCAATTAAGCGTCATTGTTTTCCATCGCCTCACTTATACTTGAATTTACATATAACGATAACATGATACTTCAGCTACGTAGTCGTGAGCACGTGAGCTATTCTTTTATATACATTTCTTTTGTCGTCGTAAGTACATTATCAAGCGTCCAAACATATATTATGAAGTAAAACTAAACGAACATTAAATAATATCATATTCATGATTTTTAGTTTGTATTGAATCTGTATAGTATAACCGCCAATTTATTTAAAATTCATTTATACGCAGTTCACATATTATACAAGACTAAGCAAAAGTAAGAAACACTGTCCTTCTCGTTATTGACTTTTCGTGAAAACACAAAAAATGCCATTTTCTTCTAGAGATCTCCTAGACTATCTGCATACGAATCCCATGTAAATTTCAATAATATAATCCTTAAGGCCTTTATATTATTTCATACACGGCTGAACTAAATATTGTAACAAAGAGCACTGCATCTGAAACACGCTTGTTACAACCATATGTCCATATTGAATACGACAAAAACTGATAAAATATTACTTTTATTATTGTAATTAGATAATTTTCATCAATATTGGTTTAAGAAGTTAGAAATTTTGTTGCAGCATAATAAACTTAGTTTAGCAGTAGTAGTGTCGCACTACAGTATTAGTAGTATGATAGACGTAGATATAGTAGTAGTATAATACCCACTGTAGTACACTAGTACCTACCTAGAAACAATCAGTAAAACTCATAACAAATAATCGCCTCCTAGTTACACTTACAGCCAACAAGTTGACAACAATACAGCTGAACTTGATCACTCAATATGCCATCCTTGTGTACCTACTGCTACTGTGCTAATCAATTTGAGGTAGGTACCCGCTATCTACAATGTCATTGATCATCAGTATTTTTCTACTTGATCTTGTGGATTTTTATCCTACCAAACTGTATAATCATAGTAATGGAATTATTATGAAAAATATCTATCAAATTAGTTAATTAAA